GCTTCTATCAGAGAGAGGCAGCAAGACGGGGGAGAGCAGAAGACGGTGCTGGGGAGAGCCAGCTTAAAAGGGGAGGCAGAGGCATAGCGGGAAAACAGCGTGAGCGGGGACTGAAGCTCGCGCCGGTCTGACTGCAAAGGAAGAGGCGGAACCCGAGGTGAGCGGGGACTGCTTGAGTCCCGCTACTCTTTGGCCTTTTTTTAAATGTAGCAAGAGCCGCGAGCTCCATTTAAAAGGCAGAGGTGCAGCAGGGATAGCGAGCGCCCCACTCCACCCGTTATCAGCTAACAGTGTGGTGTATGGAAATTCCATCGACTACTCGATTTGCAACTTGGGATGTTAAATTTTGATTAATCAGCAATCTCAGTTTGTTGGGATAAGACGACGCTGGATAACTTTTCCTTACCCTTTGCTCACCCTCTGTCCCAGGCAGTCTCTGTTGACGTGGGCCATGGACAGTGATCTGCTTAAAGCATCAGAGAGTAAAGAGGTTCACTTTCCATTTTACTCCGTGACACTTCTTGAAGTCCTGGCTTGACAAAGCCCTGGCTGGGATGATTGAGTTGGGTTTGGTCCTGTCTTGGGCAGGGGGCTGGTCTCTGACTCCTGAGGTCTCTTCCAGCCCTAGGATTCGATGACACTCCCATATTGCAAATTTCCTGAAGAAAGAGAAGGCAATCCTGGCTTGCATCAGTCCAACAGCTGCACCAAAGAACATGCCTTTTCGAGAGCTAACTTTTTTTTTAGGGGCTGATTTCATTTGATTACGTTGTTACGGGCTTTTAAGGAATACTGAGTGTTTTGTTTTAGTGTCGTCCCTCTTGGAACCTTTCCCGGAATCTCTTTACACCTGCTCCTTACATATGTGTGTTTAAAATAAAAGAACTGTGTTTTCCTGCATCCAGAGAGTACTGCAGGATTGATAGTTTACTCATTTTTTTAATTGAATCGCTGTAAAGGCCTCCTTTGCCTTAGTGAAATCATTCTCAAGCCAGGCGCTGACAATTGCTATGTGCATGGAGAGGTTTGCCATCTCAATTATTTAAGTGATGAAGTTAACAGTTCATCTTAGTGTTTTGCCAAGATAGTTGTACAACTCACTTTTTTATTTTTTTAACCCATTTTGAAATGTCACCAGCAATGGACCGGGCCTCTTCTCTGCTTTCTGAAATAAACTTGATATTTTAAAACCCATGTTCTCCTTGCAGAAGCATGGCTTGATTTGCCTAAATCCCAGTGACTCGGCTAGTGTTTTCTCTATGGCTACGTCTTCACGGCGAGTTCTTCCAGCAGAAAATATGCTAATGAGGGACTCATTAGCATGAGCCGCGATCTCATTAGAATATTTTCTGCTGTTTCTTTTTGCGCAAGGGGTTTTTGCACAAAAAGAAGCAGCGTGGATTTTTTTTTGCGCCAAAACACTGCTTTGCACAAAATCCTTAGGCCTGTCCTAGAGAGGCATAAGGATCTTGCGCAAAATGGGGGATTTGCGCAAAAACCCCTCCATCCACACTGCTTCTTTTTGCTCAAAAACCCCTTGCACATTAATGGAGGTCACAGCTCTGCCGGGACTGTTACCTTGGCATGTGTAGCTCACATAAGGATGTGGGGTCTGTTTGCCTTATTCCTCATTGCTCCTCTGCGTAGCTGGGAGGCCTGGACCATATCATAGAATCATAGGGCTTGAAGAGACCTCAGGAGGTAACTATAGGCCTGTTAGTTTGACATCTGTAGTATGTAAGATCCTGGAAAAAATTTTTGAAGGAGAAAGTAGTTAGAGACATTGAGGCTAATGGCAATTGGGACAAATTACAACATTGTTTTACAAAAGGTAGATTGTGCCAAACCAACCTGATCTCCTTTTTTGAGAAAGTAACAGATTTTTTAGATATAGGAAATGCAGTGGATCTAATCTACCTCGACTTTAGTAAGGCATTTGATACAGTACCACATGGGGAATTATTGGTTAAATTGGAAAAGATAGGGATTAATATGAAAGTTGAGAGGTGGATAAGCAACTGGTTAAAGGGGAGACTACAGCGGGTCATATTATAAGGTGAACTGTTGGGTTGGAGGAAGGTTACTAGCAGAGTTCCTCAGGGATCAGTTTTGGGGCCAATTTTATTTAATCTTTTTATTGCTGATCTTGGATGACCTTGTAAATTGGAATGATAGCAATAGGATGAAATTTAATAGTGAGAAGTGTAAGGTTATGCATTTAGGGATTAATAACAAGAATTTTAGTTATAAGCTGGGGACACATCAGTTGGAAGTAACAGAGGAGGAGAAGGACCTCGGAGTCCTGGTTGATTATAGAATGACTATGAGCCGCCATTGTGACATGGCCGTGAAAAAGGCTAATACGATCTTGGGATGTATTAGGCAAGGTATTTCCAGTAGGGATAAGGAGGTGTTAGTGCCATTATACAAGGCATTGGTGAGACCCCATTTGGAATACTGTGTGCAGTTCTGGTCTCCCATGTTTAAGAAGGATGAATTCAAACTGGAACAGGTACAAAGAAGGGCCACTAGGATGATCCGAGGAATGGAAAACCTGTCTTATGAAAGGAGACTCAAGGAGCTTGGCTTGTTTACTTTAACCAAAAGAAGGCTGAGGGGGGACATGATTGCACTTTTAAAATATATTAGAGGGATAAATACCAAGAGGGATAAATACCAGGGAGGGAGAGGAATTATTTAAGCTTAATACCAATGTGGACACAAGAACAAATGGATATAAGCTGGCTAGTAGGAAGTTTAGACTTGAGATTAGACGAAGGTTTCTAACCATTAGAGGAGTGAGGTTCTGAAATGGCCTTCCAAGGGAAGTAGCGGGGGCAAAAGATCTATCTGGCTTCAAGATTAAATTAGATGGGTTTATGAAGGGGATGGTTTGATGAGATAACATGATCTTGGTAACTAATTGACCATTCATTATCAGTGGGAAATGGGGTCGGGAAGGAAGTTTCCTCCAGGGTAGATTGGCAGAGGCCCTGGAGGTTTTTCACCTTCCTCTGTAGCATGGGGCACAGATCACAGCTAGAGGATTCTCTGCATCTTGGGGTCTTCGAAGTATTTGAAGGCTTCAATATCTGAGATAGGTGAGAGGATTATTCTAGGAGGGGTGGGTGAGATTCTGTGGCCTGCACTGTGCAGGGGGTCAGACTAGATGATCATAATGGTCCCTTCTGACCTTGGAGTCTGAGTCTATGAGGTCATCAAGTCCAGCCCCCTGTCCAACTAAATCAACCCAGCCAGGGCTTTGTCAATCCGAGCCTTAAAAACCTCTAGGGATGGAGATTCCACCACCTCCCTAGGGAACCCAGCCCAGGGCTTCCCCACCCTCCTAGGGAAATAGTTTTTCCTAATCTCCAACCTAGCCCTCCTCCCGGGGCCTCAGCCTCGCTCCTCCCAAAATATTACCTGCCTGTCTATCCCATGATATCACCATTGCTAAAGAGTCCCGCCCTTCCAATGCACAAGAAGAGAAAAGGGGTCCAGTCCAGTTTTAAAGGCATACCCTGCCTACCCTTGCAACTCCCACAGAAAACTGAAGAAATCAGAGACACTTTTCCTTGGAAGACATCGCATACAGCTGCTGCTTCCCCTGCAGCACGCCCTCCTTCTTTGCCAAAAGAGTCTCACTGGTGAGTTTCTTTTTAAGCCTCAGTTGATCATGTGACTAGTCCTATCGGCAGAGACGCTGATGTCCGTAAGCCCACTTGCATACTTAAATTAGGCCCCTGCTTAAGTGCCATGGAGAAGCAGGACCTTAAATATTTATCAGTTAATGTGCGGCACCCCATTCAGTCACAAGACGGCTCTAGTCCAGTGGTCATTAGCTGGTGGTCCACAGTCAAGGTCTAAGCGTTCCCAAAGAGTCTGCACCTCTGTTCAAAATACTTTAGGGGACTGCAAATGAAAACGGTTGAAGGCCACTGTTTTGGTGTCTATGGAAACGGTTACTACTTATGAGGATGCCAGTAGATGGCGCTCAAGACTACGTTGCCTCGCTCCTGAGTTTGTCGCTCCAATGTAACTTGAGCTTGTGCATTGCAAATGGCTTCCTTTATCCAGCTCTATACTAGGGATGTTAGATATCGGTTATTTGGATTCTTATCGGTTAGTTGACTATTCTATAGTCCCTGGGGGTGGGGCCAGCAGCCAGGCTGCCTCACTCCCAAGAAGCCCCCTGCCACTCCGCGCTGCTGCCTCTGCATCAGAGGCAGCAGTGCGGGGTGCCAGGTAGGAGCTGGGCTGGGAGGGGAGCCAGTTTAAAAACCTGTGCTGTTGCCTCTGATAAAGAAGCAGCAGTGCGGGGTGGCAGTAGCCCTTGTCTAGGGGCAGGTCTGAGCTCCCGGACCCGGTGTGAGCTGGAATTGAGCTGAGCTGTCTGCCTGCCTAGCTCCTAATACACTTTAAATGCAAAGCCACTGCAGGGGGTAGGTCCCGGATCCGGCACAAACCAGGACTGAGCCGGGCTGCTGGCCAGCCTGCTAAAAAATATACTGGAGGGAGGGGTAGAAATGCCTGTAGTCTATAGCATTAACCTATAAGATTTTGCTTATCGGTTAATCAACTACACTGTTACATCCCTACTCTATACCCTCTGCCCGTATGCTAGTTTAACAAGGGTGGCCACTCACCCGTTCCTGGAACACTAGATTTTCTGGTATTCCTGAGAATGACATGGACCTGCCCCCGGCGACGTGACCCCACCCCCACCACAAGGTCAGTCATGTGGGGGACATTCTTTTGAAGCCCTGGCAGCTCCATGCCCACCATTGTGACCTTGCGTGTGAGATCATGCCAGTGTCAGGTCACATGCTTCAAAATGACAGCTGTCTGATACTGCCCAAAACCACGTCTCCTCTGTGTGCGTGCCAGACTGGGACAGGCCCTAGGAGAGTAGGGCTGGCCTGTTTCATGCTGAACTATGGACCCGACGAATCTTACCCGTTTGTGGGCATGGTTATAGTGTCTCTTTTCTGATATTGTTGGCTACGCACAGGCCCATGTGCTTTGGCTGTCAAGTGGGGTATTAGCTGTTGTTGTTTGCTGCTTGTATTCCAGTGCAGCCACAGAGCCAGTGTGGCCCCAATTACGAAGTGTGACAATACATATAGGAAAAGACCGTCCATGCCCAAAGACCTTCCAATGTACAGCCCCAGTTGAGACGGTAGGTAAGTGCTTAATACGACATCTGTGCTTGAGTAGTTCCACTGAAGTCAAAGTTACGTGTGCACTTAAGTACTTGACTGAATCAGTGCCTTATTAGGCAGAACAGGCATAGGGAGTATTATCCGCCATGTTTCAGAGATGGTGAGCAGAGGCATAAGCAGATTAAATGATATGAACAGACTCGGTAACTGAACCCACATTTTCCAAGGTCCAGTACAGTGCCGTAATCATAAGATGCCCATTCTTCTCTGATAGCCGTATAGCATCGTCATCTTGTTGTAGAAGACATTAAACACAGACGTCCTGCCTGCTCTGCACAGATGTTAGGGATCTAGTGGATCTACCCACAAGAGTATGGTAAGTGTGACTCGTGTAAGTAACAGTTGCAGATTCAGGCGCTTAGTGCAATGTATTTGCTATTACCTATGCCAGATAGTTACACTTCGCTATCATGAGTATAAGAATGCGGTAGCTTTCGGAGGGGAAGAGGGATCTCTTGAGACACACAAGATTTTTAATTATTGTGGTGTTTGCATCTAGATGCCTTTCAGCTGCTAAACGATAGAGAGAGCACCTGAATCCCATATTATTGTTTTCAATCTCAAATTATTTACTCCCGTGATATGTGCGTCTTATCTAAAATTAGTTCATTGGTTAAACTTTAAACCAGCTTTAATATGGAGGTCATTGTAATTATAAAGAGTTTGCTTCACCACTAGTATTTGTATTTTCTTTCAAAAGGAAAAATAATTTAAACAAATTTTTGCTAGAGGATTTAAAGATGAAGAGCTATTTTTAAAATAAAATATGACACATGACCCCATATCATTTTTGTCTTTAATATAGGAAGATATTTGTTGTGTTTGATGGTCAGCAAGGTTCCCTGGCTCTTTTGCCTTCTGTAAGGTTTTCTCCAGGTAATTTTTTCTTTGGATGAATTAGGCAGTTTGCAGTATTTTGGGGATGCGCCCCTACTCATCCAGTTGCTAGTCCCTACGCAGGGCCAAGAGCAGGTAGGAGGGTGTCTGCCCTGGGAAGGAGCGTGGGTGGGGCCACCCAGGTTTGTTTGGTTAGGCAATTCCTCCCCTTGCCTTCATTACCTGTCACCCATGACCACCACCTGGAAGATCTGAGTTTGGCTTCCAACCTGGGTTCTTTATTCCTTGAGCTACTGGGTGTGGGAGTGCTCCCAAAGAGCATGGGGAGATCCCTGCTAACTGATATTGGAAGATGCCATGGATAGGTTATGGGAGCATCCCAAACAAGCCTTTTGAGGATGGTCTTAGGCCATGACGCTGAAAATGCTGCTCTCCCCCCTATAACTGTGCACGCATGAGTAGACCCATTGACTCTGACACATGCATACAAATTTTGGGCCCTAAGACAAGGAAGGAAAGGGGGGGGAGAAAAAAGGATACTAAACATGCCTAATGGATCAACTCCCACAAAAAAGGGCCCCATTCACTGCCAGGGAACATATATGGGTTTTGTTCCTGTAACTAGGCCTCTTGTCTGTCTAAATTAGGTGCTTTATATGGTCCCCATTACCTTGTATCTGACTGAGTGCCTTACAGAATCAAGACTCAAACACAGAGCCCTGCAGGGATACAAAATTTGTAGCTGCATCCATATCTGCAAAAATAGCTGCATTGAAATCTGTGAATACGGATGCTCGCGGATATAGAGCGGCTCTCCCTGGATTTGCAGGGTTCTAGCAATATGATGTGCTTGAGGCCACATGGTTGGTGGCAGAGCTGGCCTTACAATGTAACAAATGCTGGTATCCAGTCCTCTGCCAATCTAGTAAATATACCATCTTGTCACTCAGAATGAAAAATCAAACAGATGAACGCAACACTATTAAAATATAGTTGAATTAAAATGGAAATGGGTGTGCTGAAGGATCAGTACCAAATGACAGTGCTATAGAAACCGAAAATATGAGCTCCTGGAAATTGTTCCCTTATGCAAACAAACAAACAGGTAGCCCCAGATACACCTACTTGTTTGTAAGAATGGATACAAAGCATTGACATTGTTCCCTTATGCAAACAAACAGTCAGCCCCAGATACCCCTACTTGTTTGTAAGAATGGATACAAAGCATTGAAGTATACCACGGTGCATGCTGGCATAATGAACTCTGTACCTTTGCTGAATGTAATGAAAACTTGCGTATAGCAGATGGGTGTCCCATCAAGTTTGTTTGTCCTTCCTTGCCTGTAACTTGATGGGAATGTTTCTGTCTTTCCTAAGCAATAAGGAAATTGGCTAGGAGATCATTTTAAAGGTGAAACCCGAAGCAGTATAATTTCCATTAAAAGTTGCTGCTGTGCATGGTCTTTGTTTCTGGATGTCATGAGATGTAATTGACCACACACACACACACACACACACACACACACACACACACACACACACTTTTCCAGAAGTAATTCAAAGAGATTTTTTTTAAGTTACTTTGAAACTTTTTTAGTTAATTCTATATAATTGGTATGATTCTTTATGATGAGAAGTCATGTATTCTAGAACCTGCCTTTTCAGAGAAGGGCGTCAGAGTCTATAAAGATCTCCCATGTAAAATTACCGAAACGGCATTCGTGTATCAAACCTTCAGCCACTCCAAGTCTGACCTACAGCAAGCGACTAAGAGGCTTCTTCAGCATGGGTTAGGTGTGGGTTAACGTTAGGGTTAGGTTTGGGGAGTGAAGGGTTAACAAGAGTATGAGTTTAGTTAGCCCACCTACACCTGGGGGCTTGTCAAGCTCAATTTGTTAGGAGACCCACCTAGGGAGGAACTGGGTCATCTCCATAAAGGAAGGAAGCAGAAGCTACAGGGAGAAGTCTAGGGGAAGGCCCTGAGATGGGCTCTCTTAGGCTGTGTCCAGACTCAGGGGTTTTTTCGGGAAAAGTATCCTTTTTCCGAAAAAACTTCACCTGTGTCTAGACTGCAGCCGCGTTCTTTCGAAATTAAATCGAAAGAATGCGGCTTTTCTTTCGACGGTGGTAAACCTAATTCCACGAGGAAGAACGCCTTCTTTCGAAAGTGCTCTTTCGAAAGAAGGCATTCTTGAAAGCAAACAGGCTTTTTAGAAAGAGAGCATCCAGACTCACTGGGTGCTTTCTTTCGAAAAAGCGGCTTGCTTTTTCGAAATTCCGCGTGCAGTCTAGACGCTCCTCTTTCGAAAGAGGCTTGCAGTCTAGACATAGCCTTACTCTGGGAAAGGAGCCACTGAAAAGTTGTAGAAGAGGCACTAGCTGGGTAGGTAGGTCCTGGGAAAGCGGGAAGGCTCCTGGGAAGGTGTCCTTGGGGTGCTGAGGGAGGTGTGTTCCACGCTAGGACCAGAGAGCTGGGGAGATCTAGCTGTGGTTGGTTTGTTTGGAGTGTTGTGTTCAGAGACGCCAGGGGGTGCTTAAGCTACTGCAGAGGGATGAGCAGACGATGCTGGGTTAATTAGAACCGCGTGAGCTTTGTTTGCATAGGACAGTCCCCCCTTGCAGGGGGTATGACGTTCAGTGACTTGGCCAGAGGGCTGAGGTAGGAGAAGCAGCACACCACCAGCTGAAGCAGTTGTCAGCAGAGGAGCCATAGAGGAGGCGATCCTGCAATACCCAGCCACACGGGGGCGCACCAACAGCGACTCTCTTCTTTTAAATGGGTCTTCTTAGAAAAATACTTTGTCCTGGGAACTTCAAATAAGTCTTGCTTGAAAGCTCTCGGTGAGATCCAGTGCATGGGTCCAGCTCTGCCATGTTGCCAAGCAAATATTTACGGAGCGGATGGGGGAGATTTCTTAGAGCACGGCCGACATGACGTCAGTAGAGATTGGGGGTGTTTAAATGTTTAATTGGCACAATCGGTGCACTGTATACACCCTGGAAAGTAAACAATAAATACATTTCGTATTCGCCGGAATAGAAAAGCTCCATTGAATTCAAGTGTACTCAGGGAAGGTGGAATTCACTGCACTGAAAAACCTGTGCCTTACTTAACCCCCAGGGCACTGTCAAAACAGAGTTTAAGGGGGATCTGAGTGGGGCGCAGCTCTCCTGAGGAGCCTATAAACCTGTGGCGGGCAACCTGCTGCCCATGGGCTGCATCAGAGTAAGCTGATTGTGGGACGTTTTGCTGACGTAGGTACCATCCCCGCAGATCCCAGTGGCCATAGTTCTCCCAAGTCAATGGGAGCTGTGGGGAATGGCAGCCAGGACAGGTGGTTGCTTCCCACAGCTCCCGTTGGCTGGGAACAGAGTGCCACGTGCCCCAGAGGGAGTGAACAGAACAGGGAATCAAGTGAGCCATTCCTAGCTTCTGGCAAACAGAGGCTAGAAATACTTCAGAGCATTGTTTTGCATCCCTACCCCTCCTGGCTAGTAGCCATTGATGGACCTATCCTCAATGAACTTACCCAGTTCTTTTTTTTAAAACCTCTTATAGTCTTGGCCTTCACAACATCCTCTGGCAAGGAGTTCCGCAGGTTAACGGTGTGCTGTGTAAAGAAAAGCTTCCTTTTGTTTGTTTTAAACCTGCTGCCTATTAATTTCACTTGGTGACC